AGTCAGTCTAGGACCAGCGACTCCTGTGGCCTTTGGAGCCCAGGAGCTTCTGGAGCTTGGGTGGCAACTGGAGACTGTTTTGGAGAGGCCACAACAGAAAAAGCCCAAACGTGCTCAGAGACTTGGGGAAAAAAGAAAAGAAAGTCAGCCTGGCTGGGGCTCCAGCCTGTGCCAGTGGCTTTTTCACGAATTCATACCCCAAATGTTGGGGACCAAATGTAATATGAATAATAAAAAGCCAGAGACAGATATTGGGTTCAACCTGAAGATCAGGAATGCAAAAGCAGCCAAGCCACTAGAGAGCTCTTAACTCTTTGAAATCTTCAGACTGAAAGAGAGCGAGTTCCTGTCTCATCCCACCTTGTATTCCTCTCTAGTACTGGGATTAAAGGCCTGCACCATCACCGCCACCTGGCCTCTATGTCGAACTAGTATGGCTGCTGGGATTAAAGGTGCATGTCACTGCTGCCTGGCCTGTATGGCTGGCTAGTGTGGCTGTTTTGCATTCTATTCTTCAGGCAAGCTTTATTAACTAAAACACAAATGACATATCTCTACAGTTTTATGCTATGGGTTTTGTTCCTTTGCTTTTTTAAGACAGAGTCTTAAAAGTAGCCCAGGCTAGATCAAACTTACTACTGAGGCCTTGTCTTAAAATAGAAAGAAAAAAGAATCCCTATTTTGTTCCTAAATTTGACCAACACACACACACACACACACACACACCCTGCTTCAATCTTTGCCTGGATAAGGGAAGTGGCAGTGTGAGTCCAGAGGGGGACTGGTGTGCCCACAAGCCAAGGGATGCTAGAGCCAGCAGCAGCTGAATGAGGTAAGGTGGGGTCATCCCTAGAGCTTCCAGAGGGGTATGACCCTGGGAACACCTTGGGCCTCTGGGCCTGAGACATTTCTGCTGTTTTCTGCTGTCCTACTAAGGCCATGTGACAGTAGTCCAGAGACCCTAGTGTGCATAGCCACCAACAGCTCCACAGACCCCCATGTAGAAGTGGCTTCTGTCCCTCCAGACACTCACTTGTCACCTTATCGGGACCCTCTTCTTTCTGAGATTCAGTCTCCTCTTCCTCCGCCTCCTCTTCAGGGATCACAGGAATTTCTTCTTTATGGATCCATAATGGGGAAGAAAATACAAAATAGTATTTATCCCCAAATGAGACAGTTGCCAAACCTTTGCTTTAAGTGGAGCCAAAGGGTAGGGGCACACCCCACAGGGGACTCGTAAATGTCACTGCAAAACATCATGGTGCTGGAGCCAGCATGGAAAGTTGGGTCGATTGAGAACAGGGTTAAGGGCACGCCTTGGCCTGGAAGAAATGCAAGCAGGCGGTATGAAAGCGGCTTGGTCCACCACACCATAGCATGTTCTGCAGCACTGGGCGCAGCCAGGAGACTGTTCCAATGAACCCAGCGTGCTGGTGAGGCCTGCAAGCCCTGGGCTCGGGAGGAAGAAACAGAAGTGTCAGGAGTTCAAGGCTAACTGCCCACTAATAGCAAGTTCAAGGCCAGTCTGGTCTACACCACGCCCTGCCTCGGAGATGCCCCAGGGGTGCACCTGGCAGAGTGAAGGCACCCAGGCAGGCAGCTGCAGTAAGAACAGACCCAGCAGGAGACAATCGCGGCTGCTAGCTGGGGCTCCTGAACATTGTAAGAAATTGAGGTCTTGGTGCAGAGCTTTTTGCTTTCTAAATATGTACAGAATCCCACTAGTGGGTCTGGAAATCTGTACTTTTGTTTGCAATGAATGGGCCTAACCAAGAGGCCTGGGATAACATGTTCCACCTGGGGAAGAAAATGAAGGCCGGGATGGTTAGATTCTAGGGAGGCTGAGGCAGGAGAGCTAAGAGTTTGAGGGTACCTTGAGCTACACAGTGAATTCCAGGCCAGACTGGGCTATGGGCCCCTGTCTCGCAATGTAATAAATGAGGAAGACAACGTAAATGAGAGCAGAGCGCAGTGTATCCTGACTCTAGGTCCCTCCCGCTCTAATCTCTCTCTCTCCCTTTCCTGCCTCTCACTTGCTATGGTGATCCTGAACTTACCATGGTCCTTGGGTGATCCTATCTCAGCAGGGATTGCAGTCGGGCGGCACTTCGACCTGCTGCCACTTTTTAAAGTAGGGAGCTAGGCATGGAAGGTGAGCTCCCCTGAGCATCTGCAGACCCTGGCCTTGGGACCCTCCCTCTGGGAGGCATCTTACAGGACAAGAGATTCTGGGCCTCCTCTGTGTCCCCAGCAGATGTGCAACACTGAGCCCGCCGCTGAGAGCGAGGATGACAGCGTCCCCCTCTAAAGCCCCTGGTCGCATAGTAGGGCTAAATGCCAGCAGAGTGCTGACTGTAGGTTGGCCTTTGCCCAGGCTCACCAATCTCCACCTCCACCTCCTCGGGCACCATGACGCGGTAGAAGAAGAGCGTGGAGGCGCAGTCCTCGTCCGTTGCGTGGTTGAGGAAGTGAAGGATGAGGTCCTCCGCCTCACTGTCGTTGCGACTCAGCAGATCCTCGAACAGTTTGGGGTTGCTGAGGCCGAAGACCGTGTACACGCGGTCGCGCATCCACAGAACCCGCAGGTCGTCCATGGCGCAGACCTGAGTGGTGCAGGACTTAGGGAGGTCAGAGCCGGAGCCGGGCGGCGTCTGTGGCAACGGCGCCCATAGCAACGGGAACCTGGGCGACGGCGTCAGCGCAGGCAGCGCCAGCGTGGGGCTAAGGGCCCCCCATTCTGCAGTTAGGAAAGCTGAAGTGCGAGAAAGCTGGTTACTGAGGCGTGACAAGGGCACGGCTCTGAGGCGGAGCCAGGCGGAACTAGAAGCAGTGAGCTGTTGATGCAAACCTATACTTAGTTGGGAAAAGAGAATCTCAATGAGGAATTAACATCAGATGGGTCTATAGGACCTTTTCTTGCTTGCTGGTTGACGTAGGAGGGCCCAGCCAGTGCTGGACTGACCACTGAGCACGCCATGGGGAGCAAGTCAGCACGCAGTGCTCTCCTCCAAGGTCTTGCTTCAGGTCCTGCTGCGGCTTCTGCGCTTAATGATGGAGTATAACCTAGGATCAAATGATTCCTTTCTTCCCCCAGGTTGGTTTTGGTTGGTGTTTATCACAGCAACAGAAGCATACCAAGCAGGACAGGCAGGGGGGGACTGGTCTCACAGGCAGGCACTGTGAGAACACCTGTGTGTTCTAGGTAGGGCATGGGGAACACTAGTGGGGCCCTGGAAAGGGACTGGCTCTTCCTGGCATAGGGGGTTAGGGAGCAGGATCACAAGAAAACAAGACACTGGCATCTCAAAAATATAGATTTATTTGTCACTAGCAAAAGGGAGTTTCATACTGACAGATTAGTCCTTCATGCGTCTGCAGGACGCAGTCCTGACTGGCTCCCGTAGTCCCTGTGGACTTCGTGGTATTCGAGCAGAGCCAGGCAGCAGCAGTCCAGGGGCGGAGCAGATATCACTCCAAACTCCTGACTTACAGCATTAGGGCAGTTCGTAAGGTCTGCCTGGAGAGTATGGCACGCAGCAACCCCAGATTAAAAATTTCAGTAGAGAAATAAACAGCTGAAGCTTTTTTTGTGATTTTATTTCCCAAATGGTTCAAACTCTAAATCACAGCTTCATGCGTCTGCACGTAAGTTATCAGCGGATAGTCTATGGCCTATGCCAGAGCACTGGGCCCGAATGCCAGTACAGCCACTCCCAGTCAAGCCCAGCACTGCGTACCTGTAGTGCCAGCTGAGCGTCGAGGCAAGAGAGTCACAAGTCCAAGGCAGGCATAGGTGGCATTAAACATCTCGAAACATACAGACCCATTCTACAACTGGGGCCAGGAGAGGACTTGGAGGGAAACGGAATCCGTCCCAGGCTCCATGGTGGGAGAGTCCAATGCTCAAACCCCTTTGCATGCTTCTACTGGTCAGATCTCCTCTCCACCAGCAGAAGCCTGTGTGACACAGTGAACACCTGAACAGACGGCATGGCTGTTGTGATAGGGAGGACGGACATCACACCACCCAGGCAGTTGCTTGCGTCCCTCTGTATGATGCTATCAATTATATTTCCAGAGGGTTCACAAAAGGAGTAATTTGTTTATGTAATTACATTCCATATAGCTGTGACAGACTTCAGCCGAGAAGTCACTCTCTCACCTGGTAAGAGATGCTAGTTACAAGAGAAAAGTGGCCGCATCACAACTGCCAAGAAGGACAGTGAACATGGCCAAAACTGCATCTCCTGTAATTATCCCTGGAATCAGTTATCTCTGTGAGGACCAAAGACCCTGGGGGAACAGTAACGAGAGGGGGTGACAATGGATACTGTCAGGTATAACAACAGGCAACACCACCTCATCCCAGCCGCCAGTAGGTTTGGCATCACAGTTGCCAGAAAGCTGGCACACAGGGCACAAATGCTGGAGCTCACTGCCCACCAGTGCAGACTCCGCTGCAGCTAAAGAGGAGTGACTTAGTCCAGCTGCGGCACGAGCAGTTCACTGTCTCAGCAAGCAGGCCTTAAAGGACCCGAAAAGCTGCTAAATCCCAAATTCCAAAGGCTTGGCCCCACTCTCTACTACACAGAGTGGTGGAGCAGGGGGATGAACAGGACCTCAGTAGTAGCATGTGACTCAAAATTTCAAGAGGGAAGAAATATGTTAGATTACTTTTTCTCTTTAGGATGTCATATAGCCTGTACTGGCCCCAAGCTTACCACACAGCCAAGGGTAACGCCCTGCCTCCACCCTCTGAGTGCCAGGAATAAGACGTGATTCTGGGGATCTAGCAGCCAAGTCACACCCCAGCCGCAGGCTTCTTTTCTGAAATGCTTAATCTAAAATCAGTTAATGTAAAATGTGAAGATGAACATAATTTATGAGACTATGGCATGGATCAGGGCTCAGCAGGCTGAGTTCACGTCACGCAGAGCTAATGACACAGGAGCAGGTGACCTCTGCTCGAGACGATGAATGAACAGATTAGTGAGAATTAGTTTTCAACTGACCTGAAGAGTTTTTAGAAATTAAACTGTGGCCATCAGACCTTTATTTAGAATTACTGTGAAAGTAAAAAATTACACTGTTCCCCAGCAGAAGCAAGGTCTCTGTGGCAAAATAGCTTCATTTGTTCTTTGCTACAAAAATACACATTACTTTCACCTGTCTTCTCTGCAGCCGCACCGGGATTTAAGGCTCTGGACTGGTCTGACATAAGGGTAACAGGCAGGCTCTTGTAAAAACAAGCAGGAAAGCCATCTGCTGTGTTATGTTGTCCATCCCCTCCTGTGACTCCGACAGCATCCAGGCAGAACACATATACATTCTTGAGCCAGCAGGGTGCGGGGATCTGCTGATGGCCCAGCAGAATGTCTGAAGAAAACTATGGTATCGGACGTCTTCTCGTGATGGAACAACTTTTGTGTTTTTTTAAAGTTGGAAGGGAATCAAGAATCTAAAAACAATTTTAGCTAGCCATTTAGCTGGCTTTTCTCCTCCAATCTTACACTTATTAAAAAAATATCTTTAATGTAATGTTGGCATAGCTTACATTTGCTCATAATAAAAACCAATGAAATTTCTGTGTCCGAAGTGGTGAGCTTTACAAAATCTTCAACACGAGGAGAGGTGTATCTTACAGAATCATTTGGCTGAGTCGTAAGGCAATCATCGAGGGTGGAATTTTCCCGTCAGAAATCTGACTTGAGGGAATTCTGTAACATGATCATTCTCCATAACCCTGAGAGCGGACGGCTGCAGCCATGTGATCATGCAATGTCGTCGTCATTACAGAACTTGGAGGAGAGCAGACTGAAGGAGAAAGGAACAAATTTGGTGCCTGCACCAACGTAGAATTTGTTCTGAAATTCAACCCTACAAAAAGAACAACAAATACGTATTAAAAACGCCATGCCTTCCCCATCATGGACTGCACACAGAACTGTGAGTGAAATGATGTTCCTACAGTTCTTTAAAGAAGTTCCACCATAGACCAGGACAGACTTGACCGAGTTTCTTAGCTCTTCTATGCACACACTGGGGTTCTAGGCAGGACCTGTGTTGTCTTATAGCTCCAGGGAAGCAGGCAAAAAAAAAGAAAGAAAGAAAGAAAGAAAGAAAGAAAGAAAGAAAGAAAGAAAGAAAGAAAGA